CCATTTGACATCTTGCCGAGCGTTGAAGCACAGCGAGCGTCAGGTCAACAGCAAACCTCCCACCAGCCTCAAGAAGGTTTGGACTGTGCCCCAGCCTGCTCTGCTAACAAGATGTGACAAGCTGCAGTGAACAGTTAGACAGAAAGCATCAGGATTTCACAGCATATTTTGCCAGCAACTTCTTGTTTTTTCAGCTGTTTTTTTCTTTGAATTTTTTTCCTCCTTGCGCTCTAGCAACTCAAATCTATCCCAGGCTGCTTCTGACATTAACAAGACAGTGGATGACAGGCAAAATGCGTCCACGAGCAATTCAGAGTCTCCCCGCTAAGTAGTCATAAACACTGCAAGTTTGCAACAAAGCAAGCAGCTGTCTTTCTCCCCCTGGACAAGGACTGCTTCCTCACAAACTGAGGCTCTGCAGGTTTTACAGCAGTCGGACAATGAGTCTGTCTGGTGCCTGTTACTTCCTCTTCCTTTTTTTTTTTTCCTTTTTCTTTCTTTTAATGGAAAATATCTCAGCATTGCCAGAACTCAACTGGCCGACTCCAGCAGTGAATCAATACAACCGAGTGACGAGGCTCTAACTTTCTGGCTGACGCTACTGGAGTGGGCACAGAGGGGTTGTGTTACTTGCACATCCTCTCTTCCAAGGGTTTATTACTTTTGATCACGCTTCTCACAGGGAAGCAGATATGTATTTGAGGGCTGGGAAGGGATTTAACAGCACACAGCTTCTGTCCCAGAGGTGCTGAGGGTGAGGAGGCTGGAGAGGGTGGGCTGGACCTGCGAGAGCCCCTGGCGAGGTGGTCACCTTGAGCCCTGCAATTTCCTTCCAGTCTGCTGGAGCGTGTATGGAGCCCCAAAAGAAATTTTTGTTGCTGACCTAAATGTAGGCAAGTAGAGAGTGAAGATTACTCTTTATTACTTCAATAGAGAGTTGATCCTACCTTGGATTGACAGGCCACATGACCTTAGCCTTTTCAGATGGATTTTCTGCGATATATTCTGAGGCAGCCTGCAGTGGACCCCACCTCTACCATGCTTTGTCCGTGGTGCAGTTAGAGAAGTGCGAGTGGTGGATTTACCTCCCCCAGCTGGTAGTTATTGCCCCCTCAGCTGAGCACGCAGTTCCTCCTGGGCAGTTTCAGTGCCGAGTAAATCACATTTGTTCAAACCCCTTTCAGTCTGTGTCTGTAACACTGCTCTGCCATCCTGCACTACCCTTTTCAATAATGCCACCTTCTTACCCTGACTGTTAACTCATCATAGGCTTAATTTTACCTTGTTATGCTACAGCTATCTGTGGCCTCTGCCCCCCTCCTCTGCAGTGGGTCTATCAAACAGCACATGTTGGATGAAATGTCTGTATTCTTTCTGTTTATGACTGAGTGTAATAAAGTCTGGCTCCTGTGCCTTCCAGGTGGCTTTTGGACATGCAGCATTTAGTGCGTGAAGTGATTGATCTCTGATCTTTAAAATAGAGCTGTGAAGACCACAGTGAATTTGCATGCATGGGGAGTATAAAGCTAGGAGACAGCAGCTCTGAAACTCTCTAACCCCTGCCCTTTATTTCCTTGTGTTGAGTTTTCCATGGCTGACGCGGCGCAGTGATTTATGAATAACCAGAGCAGCCTCCAGTGGTTGGATCTGTGAACTTTTTTCCGAGCAGCCCTTTACCTTAGCTCCCTCGTGGGTTTTGCGGACCCCAGCCCTGATTCCTCCCGGCTCCAAGCTCAGCGCGGGAGAAGGGGGCGAGCTGGGAGCAGCGGGTGCTCCGCTTACTCTGCTGGGAGCCGATTCTGTCCCTAATTGAGCTGAAAACAGCTGCTCCATCCTCGCTGCCGCAGGCCTGCTGTGCACAGCGGTTTTTGACAATAGCTGAGATACAGGGATATCATAGCTGCCTGTGCCAGCCTCGCACCCCTGTTGGCACAGCAGCACCCCTGGCAGCGGGGAAGCCTGCCAGTCGGGGGGTACAGGAGATCTCTGGCGGTGCTATCCCGAAACTATCCAGCCCTGTCGGTACCCTGTGGTGGTGCCTGTGACAGGGGCAAGGCAGGCGCTGCCTCTCTGTGTCTCCGTAGCTGTGCTCCCACAGAATCTTTATCTGCCGAGGACCAGATGGTCCTTCTCAGGTAGTGGGCTCAGGCATCACAGAGTGATAAAGTGATAAAGGTTGCAGGGAAGTGGGGTTGCAGAACACCTTTGTGTCCTGTCCTGCAGCTGGGTGCTTCCCAGTGGGAACAGCTTTGAGAGAATCACTGCTAGGAGGACAGAGAATTTGGGGGTTTGTCTTTTAATTTCTCTTCCTGCATCTTGGTGGTTAGTTCTCGGAGTCATTTCTACTTCTCAGGGTCGTTCAGGCAAAACAGGCGATTGACGGGACTCTGACCTGGGGATGATCAGAAGGAGGTGGGGTAACTGAGCAAGATGTATGTGAAAGGCACGACAAACCCCAAACAGTGTTTGTGCCCCCACCGAGCCTGCAGACCAGCCCTGAGGGGCCTCGTCTTCAAGGACAGGAGCTTCAGAAGCCAAGTACTGAGCTGATAAATGCTACCAGGGAGCAAGGAGCGGCTCAGTCTCTGCTACAGCACCAATGTTTATGGAAAACAAGCAGAGGAGGTGAGGCAAAGATGTCTGGTTTGTATCTAAGAAACTTCCCTTATAAAAGGATAGATTGCTGACACTTTTCCTTCATGCAGCTGCCCAGGCATTTCAAAGCATCTGAGATTTCATTATCTGAGAAGCAGTCGCTGGCTTTGTTGGGGACTTCTGGCTGCTTCACAAAGCAATTCCAGTATTATTATTGGAATAAAAGCATAACAACTACTAATCCTCTGTTTAAATGACCAGTAAGTTCCCTGCAGGCAATGCTCTGCCAAAACATTTATCCACCTAATTTTATTTCGTGTATTTTTTTTAAATTCTGATTTAACCTTTTGTGATGGGGTTTGTAGGCGCTTCTGTTCAGAAGCACATTTTACAGACTGCTGGGAACGTAATTCCTTGATGCAGGGGAGAGAGAGGGCATTTGCTTGTCTGTGTTAAAGGTGTCTCGCAGAGCTGTGAAAGTGCAAATTTCCTTTTAGGTCACTCGACCCCTGTTTTTTTTGGAGGAGCGATGCCAGGCAGAACTGAAAAGCTCAACCTTTCTGCAGGTAAGTGGAATCAAACCCCTTTTTCAGGATACAGGACAGGCTTTTCCCAGGCTGGCAGCATCACACAGCAGTGAAATACTGTTAGCTCAGTGAGGACAGCGCAGGCAGCCCTCACCCAGGACCTGCTGGGCTCTGTCACTCGCTGTCACCGGTGTGCTCCTGGGAGTCTGGGCATGGAGGAGCTGGAGAAAACCACGGAGGAACGGGATAAATGAGGTCTCTGGGTGCTGCTGCTCATGCGTTGCACAGGAGCCAAAGGGTGGGACCAGCGACTGCTCCTCGCTGCCTGTTGCCTGGGAGCAGAGGCAGCCAGCAGCTGGGCAGCATTCCTTGAGGGCAGGAGCTTTTGGAAGCCGTGCCAGGAGAGGGGGAGGCTGCTCCTGGCCAGCCCGCAGGGCTGTACCTAGTAGCTCTGCCTCTCTGGGCCTGGAGCTGGTGGCAATGTAGCTACCTGACATGTCACATCTGCTGTCCCAGCGTGGCTGGTGGTCATGGAGCACAGCCACCCTGGGGGTGTCCGCACGGCAGAGCTGTTTGATAAGGAATGGTTGGGATGGACGGAGCTGGAGCCTCTGTTCCCTGAGGATCAGGTGAGTGTAGCTGGCAGGAGGGCTTATGCAGACCCTGTGGATCTGCAGCTCTGAGAGCTTTGTTAGTCTTGTGTGTGGGTCTCTCCTGGAACTTGTTAGCCCCGGGTGAATATTTCTGCAGGTGCAAAGGAACTAGAACAGACAAAGTCCATCATCCCTGGTACCCAGTTCTTACAGTGGCCAGCAGTTACTACCTGGGGAAAGCAATCAAGAGCACGGCATATCCCAGACACCTTCCTGAGCATATCCTCCAGCATCTGGCACGCTACCAGCTTCCAAGGCTGAAGGTGTATCGAGAACTTCGTGGGGAAGGCTGAGAGATCTGAAATCCAGGTGTGTCCAAAGGCTTTTTGAACCCACGTATGCTGTTAACCTCCAGTACAGCTCCTGACAACCCTGTTATTTAGCTATACATAATGGGGGGGGGGGGGAAACAGGCCTGTGATACACTGAAAGGTGCGTGCTGCTTTGAGGCTCCACTGCTGGGACCTGCGCTGTCCGTGATGGATGTTGAAAAAGCCCAGCTAAATCTCATCATGTGTTCCTACTGCAGTGCAGGTGGGACACGACAGGTACCTGGTCGTCCCGAGTTCATCCCTGAAGCTTCGCACATTGTATCCTGGAATCAACACAAGTTCAGCTCAAAACGAAACAGGAAATTTTCCTTTTTTTTAATCAAATAGGAGTGAGGCAGGGAACGCTGTAAGTCTTAGGATGTCTTGTTTGGCCTGGAACAGCATGTTTCAGTTCTTCCTTAGGTTGTTTTTACCACCACAATCCTACTTTATGATTTGAGTTAAACTTTTAAATTGAAAGCCATCACTTCAAAAGGAAAAGGAGAATATTCTGCCTGGAAAATGTTTAACTGAAATATTGCAGTGCTTCTGAAATGAATGGTGTCATTTAGAAAATGTCAAAACAAAAAGCTTCAATCTTTTGAGTTTCCTCTTTTTTTCCTTTTTCCCCCCAGAAAAAACGTATTGCCTGACTTTGACATGAATTTGTAAATAGTTCCTCATCACCACATACATCCCCCCCCAGACCCCCCCAAAAAAAAGTGAAGCAGCGTCCTCTTGAGACAGCTGCAGATTTATGATATGGATAATCATGTCATCAGCACCACTTTATCAGCTTTTCCTTCTCTCCTTCTCTGCGTGCCTGTGGCTTTTGGTTTGCTGGAGGAGTGAGAAAAGCTGGCAGGAGAATTTTGCTATATTATTGTTGCTGTTGTTTTTGTCTGCGTCGTAATGGGCACTTTTGTGTTTGTCTGTGCACGCTTACGTGCGATCTCTGCATTTGTGTCCGTCTCCCTCATTCCTCCCTTGCCCATCCATGCACAGCATGATATAAACAAACCTGCCTCTGGACATGTCATGGCTTAAAATAGATGTTCATACATCAGCCTTTCTCCAGCAGCAGCGGCAGCAGCAGGAAGACATGGCCGACTGGATCTGACTACAACACTCACTTTGCGCCGAGAAATCACAGCCCTCGCAAAGGTAGAGTAACGGGGTGGGCGTCTCCTTCCTCCTGCGTGTCTGTCTGTCTGTCTCTGCGGAGTGTGCGGGGCTGAGCAGCCTGCGCTCGGTCAGCGATGCCGCTTCGGAGCTCGCTCTGTGCATCTAGGCAGGCTCTGCCTGTTTCTCCCCTCCCTCCAAGCATGGCACGACTGGCTGAGGGGCTCCGGAGGCAGCCGAGAGCGTGCTCGGGGGAGCGGGGTGCGAGCTCCCGGGCTTGGCTGCTGAAAGGGTGGGGTACAGCCGGTGCCTGTGCAGGTTTTGGGTGCCAGGAGTGCGTTGGGGTCTGTTCTGAGGTCTTGGCTGTGGCGCAGTTTCTCTTCCCCCACAGCACGTTACGGGGGCTGGCATGGTGCTGTGTTGGGGGTGGGATGCTGGAGGCCAGCTTTGGGCCTGAGGTTTCTACAGCTACGTCCCGGGATAGGTGTGGATTGCTATTTTTCCAGCCAACTGTAGCAAGAAGAGGGTCTGCTATCTGGCTTGTTAAAGCCTTATACTGATGATTTAGTTGCTTTTTTCAGACCCTTCTTCTGTTTGTTTCTTAACGCTGCCCGGGGCTGGTGGCATGTGGCTGTGCTGCAGCCAAGGTCACACAAGGTTTAAGGGCCCTGTCACACGGCCATGCTGAATGCCTTTTCCAGGTGGGGTTTGCCAAGTCTGAGTTCCCAGCATGGAGGAGTCCAAAAATCATCCGGGCAGGGCAGTTGTGTCAGGGTGAGATCTGGCCCGTACCCCGTGCTGGGGAGTGTGGTGTGCTGGGTGCCAGGACGAGCAGTGTGGGCAGGGCTGACCTCTCCTGTGCAGCACCCTGGGGTGCCAGGCAGGGTCTGAACTGCCACCCTGGAACAGGGGGCGGGGAGAGAGACATCCATGAGTCCTCCTGGACTTGCTCTGAGCTCCCCTGTGCCCTTGCAATGTTTTTCCTCCTCTGCACATTGCCGAGAAATGGCTGGAGGCTTCTTCCTTCTGCACCGTTGGCTGCTGGCTGGCGCCTTAGGGGGAATGTCAGAGCAGACAGACACGCTCTGATCCAGCCTGGGCAGCCCAAGGTCGCTGCGTTTCCTCCCCCGAGTCCCAGAGACAAGTGGCCAGCAATGAGCTGCTGCTGGGAGGGCTGCGCTGGGATGCTCTTTGGACACCTTCCAGGGCAGCTCAGGGCAGCAGCGTGACGGTGGGAAGGAGAATTGTATTCTCATGTGTGTGGGGTCCTGTCAGTGGAGCAGCAGCAAACGAGCAAAAAAAGGCAGCTCTGACGAACGTCTGGCTGCAGGGACTGTTCACTGCTCCGCGTGGGTAAGGCTGTCCGGGGAGCTTTCTTGCAGATGTGTGACAAGTATCGGCATGATCTAAAGGTTTGAGAGCAGAGCTTCGTCCTAGAGGATCCGCTCTGTAAAATGAGCTTTCTCATCTCCTGAAATTAACTCTTCCCACACCAAACCAGTCCTAGATGTTCAAATGCGGCAGCAGGACTGCCGTACTTCGATGGGTTAATCCTGCCTCTCCCTTCCTGCAGGCTTTTGTGGCTGGTTCGTAGGAGTCTGGGTCCTGGCCAGGCTCTGCGTGGTGCCATATGGAATCCTCCACCTGTTTGGGGGCTTTTCCTCCCCAGCCCTGGTGGCTTGCCCAGAGCTGGCCGCCTTTCATTGCTTCTGATCGCAGGTTGGCAGCATCAGTTCTCGAGCTGGCATTGTCCCGCTGGCAGGCAAAGCCCCAGAGCCAGCTCAGAAGGAAGGTGGTCCTGTGTAGAACATCTCTTGCCAATGTGGCGTCAACCCAAAGTCGCAGGGCTGGAGCAAAACCTCAGCCTATGGAGACTCGGCAATCTGGCTGCCTCTCTGGCTTCCCTCACCAGCCCTGGCATCGTACGCTTCTCCCCAGCAGTATTGCTTCTTGGAAGGGAGTGTCGGTGATACTCTGTCTCACGCTGGGAACCTCTGGGTAGCTGACTTAACACAGCCCTCTCACCAGGAAGGTGAGAATTGGCTGCTTCGGGCCAGTATTTCTACAGAAGGGACGGAGTGAGAGGTCCTTGGTTCTTCTAATGGCATCTCTACTGCTTCCATGACAGGACCGTGGGTGGCAGCAGCAGCAGAAGTGACCTCCAGGCCACTCTCCGGCCTTCACGAACCCACAGGTATGCCTTGTGGGTCTCGGCAGCTCCAATGGCTTTCCTGTCCAGGCTCTCCAGGAATGGCACCAGGTCACCGAGCCGAAGCTCACGGGAAGAGCGCAACCACCACCCCATCCTCAGCGTCTTTGAGCTTGAAAGGTTGCTGTACACAGGCAAGACAGCCTGTAATCATGCTGATGAGGTCTGGCCAGGACTCTACCTGGGAGATCAGTATGTATTGGAAGGGGACAAGAACTGGGGAGTTCGGGGTATTTTTGTGAAATGGGGAAATCTGGGAGGGGGAGGTTGGGGAGTGTGAGGGAGAGGGCGGCGTGGTGGGTGTGGTACATTGGGACAACGGAGGAGGAAGGACAAGCACGGCTGTGCAGAGGGTGCAGAGCACTGCTGTGGTGAGGTGGGCGGAGGTGAAGGGTCCGTGGAGTCAGGGACTGGGAAATTGACTTAAAATTCAAGAATCTTAAGAGTCTGGCATTTTTCCTTTGCATCCAGCTTTCTCAGTTGTACATGTTTGTCCAGGACAGCCCTGACACTGTCCTTGGAAACTTTTAACTAGCCTAAACTTAATGCATCTCTGCACTGTTCCTTACTCTCCGCAGAGATATAGCGGCCAACCGGCGGGAGCTGGCTCACCTGCGCATCACCCACATCCTCAACGCCTCGCACAGCAAGTGGAGGGGGGGTGCTGAGTACTACGAGGGCACGGGTATCCGCTACCTGGGCATCGAGGCCCATGACTCACCTTCCTTCGACATGAGCCCCTACTTTTATCCCGCAGCTGACTTCATCCACCAAGCGCTGAATGAAGGTCGGTGGTAAAGATTACTGGGGAAACTCCCCTGGGCTGGTGGGAAGCTGTATTGCCATCCTGTTGCAAAGCATCCTAGAAAACAGAGGTGTTTCTAGCCTGGGATGGTGTCTCCTGTGCTGGATCACCTCCTCCAAGGAGGGAACGGGCTAGGTGAGAGCACTGGCCCCGCCTGGTCACAGCCCCAGCCTGTGTCCTGAGCTGTGGCTGGTCCCGTTGAGTCTGTTTTGGGAGATCACGATGCACTGATACCCTTTGCCAAGAGGGGGACCTCGGTGCATCACAGCCATGCTTTACCTGGGGCCCTGCACCTAGCCCCAAAGGCTGCACGCCTGAGCCACGGCTCCAGGATGCACCATGGCGAACGGTTGGGTCCTCAGTATTTTTTGAATTTGGTCTGCTGTGACACAGCCCCTGTGTTTCGCCCCCAGGAAGGATCCTTGTGCACTGTGCTGTCGGGGTGAGCAGGTCGGCCACCTTGGTCCTCGCCTACCTCATGATCCGCCACCACATGCCCCTTGTAGAAGCCATAAAGACGGTCAAGGACCACCGTGGTATCATCCCCAACCGGGGTTTCTTGCGCCAGCTGGTCGCCCTGGACAATGCCCTGAGGCTGAAGAGGAGTGCGTGAAGGAGGACAGAGGGGTTGTGCGGTGGGAGCGTTGTGTGTGCGGTGGGAGCGTTGTCTGGGCGGTGCTCGCCTGACCCCGATGCCCGCTGAGTGGCAGAGATGGGGCTTTCCTCACGGTGCAGACGCTTGGCAGCTAATGGGTTACCTGCAGCTGGCCCCCGGGCCTCCCCCTCAGCTAAAGAGGACCCCAGACCTTTGAGCTATTCCTCGTGGTAAAGCATAGGCCCTCAACCTGCAGTATTGCCACCTAGGTAAGCCAAACATAGAGCCCTTCCTAGCCCGCTCGCTCCAAGATGCCTCCGGAGGGGCTCAGCACCACGTTTCAGGTTACTCTGTTGGCTCCAGGAAGCCTTCGAGGCTTTGCTCTCCCACGGGGCGGATGCGTTTGCCAAGCCCGCCCTGTCCCTCCCTCCCAGGAGACTGAAGCTCTGTGTGTTCCTTGTCTCGTTTCCCATTTGTTTTCGGTCTGTGTAGCAACCTGAATTCGGTCTGGTGTGTGGGCTCAGGCAAACAGGCCTTTTGTCGTAGTGTTTGGGTGTCCTCCGTGCCTAGTGCTAACCTGTGAAAATAAAGTCAGTGCTAAGGAAACAGCTTGGCCGTCCCTGGTGTGCTTTGGGACAGACTTCACGTGTTCAGGCTGGGATCCGTCACAGGAGCGGGTGGGAGAGTCTCCTTCTCTGGAGATATTCAAGACCCGCCTGGACAAGGTCCTCTGCAGCCTGCTGTGGGTGACCCTGCTTCGGCAGGGGGTTGGACTGGGTGACCCACAGAGGTCCCTTCCAACCCCGACCATCATCTGAGAGCATCACCCTGAGTCCTCTGGGTTGAGGTAGACCTGAGTCCTCCCCGTTCCTCGGTCCATGGGCTGAACCTGTCAGACCCCACTGGTGGCCAGTGCCTGTGCTGGGCCTCCCCACTCTTTTTTTCCAGCAATGGGGACAGAAAGGGGGGCTGCTGGTGGAAAGCAGAGCTGGGCTGGCAGTCACCAGGGCCACCAGCCATCACGAGGTGGCAATGCCCATCTCCGGAAGGCAGGCAGGCACCGAGGTGTCCACCCAGGCTTGCAGAAGGGCCGGCTGTCCGCTGCGGCCTGCGAAAACCCCCTTCCCTGCTTGCAGGGGGGCTGAGCTCGCCCAGGAGGGCGGCCAGGGCCAGGAGCGAGCGTCCGTGGTGGCACCAGCCCCACGGGTGCTGGACTGTCCCTGCACGCTGCCAGCACTCATTGTCTGCCCGCCCTTATTATAGCCCCATTCTTCCTCCGCTTCCTGAGCGCGCACGAAGCACCACCCAGCCATATGTTGGGCTGGGAGCACGTAAACACGGAGGGAGAGGAGCCCGACGGCCGTGCCGGGTGAGCTGCTTGGCTTGGGGCGTGCTGGGGCACCCCATCACTGCTAGCTGGTGGCCCCCAGCTGTGGTGTCGCGTGTGTGAGGTGCTCCTGGGCTGGGGCTCTGCCCTTAGGGAACCCTGAAGTGCCCCAGGGTGCTCGGGGCACGGCACCGTCCCAGAAGGGCACCGGCGGAGGGAGCAGCAGGCGGACGGCTGGCAGCGGGGCCGAGGTCACCCCGAGCAAG